GAAAGCACATGCAGACACACATGATTCGTATGTATCCAGACCCCGACTATGTCACCTGATAATGAAGCAGAATGGACTGATGATAATCAGCTCTAGGTGACTGATGATAATCAGCTCTAGGTGCATCCACGCGCGCACACACACACACACACACACACTCTAGGTGCATACACTCGCACACACACACACACACACACACACACACACACACACACACACACACCTGCACACACGCTCAAACGCAAAACACACACTACTCGATTTCATGTTAAGCTAGATCCCCACTATCTCCCCTGATAATAAACTGATAATCATCAGGTCTGCCTGCAGGTTGATCATGTCTCACACCTCATTTGTGGCAACCGAGCTCCATCGGAAGCATTTCCTGGGCCTATTTATAACATCTCACACGCGTACGATATGTGGTCAGGGGTTGGTCAGGCAAGCTCTATCATAACCATAAATGACTCATCTGTTATAAGCTGATCTCAAACACCTTCCACCAGCTCCCATGACAAGAGGCGTGTCATTGTGACGCAATGTTTTACAATGCATATCTGATCAGATGCGTGTTATATCAAACACACCAAGAAGGTGACCTATTGTCAGCATTGAGCGGGTGCATGTCCCTTCTCGGGGAAGGGGCTGGATTGGATCACAGGGTACCTGATGACCTCCGCGCCGGCAGAGGACTTGGTAGTTCTTTGTGAGCACTGCTTTGTAAAGTGTTTTCTGTAGAGGGGTCAAATCCACCCTGACGATCAACTCCCGCTTTGGAGGCAGCTGCTTCATGACATCCTTCTTTAGTCCTGAAGATAAGAGGAAAACAAAAACAGACAAGGTTCAAACAGATGAAGAGGAAACCATCATAACATTGGGAAAAGCAACAACAGTGCAACACCAGCCTAAAAGTCCAAGTGGCAGAAACATGCTCCATAAGAGCAAGAACAATCCTGGGAACCCATAAAGGAAAAATAGAGCTGCTTAGCAAATGACTTATAAGCAGTGTTGTATGCCCCAACGATTGGCGCCCCTTGACTGGTCGGCTGCCGGCCAGCCGACCTGTAGGCTGGTCGGCTGGCCGGCACCTACAGGCCGGGTGTCGTCGGCACCTACAGGCAGGGTGTTGCCGGCACCCCGGAAATAAGAAAAATCAATTTATTTTTATTTTTATTTTTGGGTCCAGAACCCCCAATAACCCCACCCACACCCCCGTACCCACGCCCAATACCCCCATACAGCCCCCCAACACCCCTGTCTCTTATACACATCTAGATGTGTATAAGAGACAGCCCATACATTGCCCTCAATCTTGCTCCCTCAATCC